GGTTTTTCTGAATACCAAAAAAAAAAAAAAAAAAAAAATAATAATAATAATAATAATAATATATAAATAAATAAATATGTATATTTTCTTCTTAATGAAAACTAAACAATAAAAAGTGTTGAATGCAAAGAACTTGGCAAATGATTAAAATAAAGCTTAAGCAATTATTTGCAGCTATCTAGCTATCAGTTGGATCAGTCCAAGCACATTGTTCCACGAGTCCAAGGTTCGTGAATCTACAATTCTATTTCAAGAGCAACTTCAAACAGCACGTTTTTGTTTTTGTTTTTTTTTTTTTTTTTTTAAGCTCTTATTGCTTTAAATTGTTGTTTGCTATGAATTGGAAGGCATTACTACATAGATATATGTATATACATTTCATATTCCAGCCACATTCGCGTCAGTTATGCTGAAACATAGGACTGTGAGGCTACGTTTATCGCAATCGAGCAAAATTCTTGCTGGGGTATGGCTTTAATTGCATATAAAGCCATTATCAAGAAATACCCAGATCTGCTCTCTCGCTCTCTCATGCACTCTTTGACTGAGTTTATGCCTGGCAGGTGTATGGCCAAGCAGAATCTGGTAATTGGTTACAACCGGCGCTAACCAGTCTAGTTCGGTGTTGGCTCGTCTGGCCAAAGCTCTCAGCGAGCTTTATGAATGTCGCTGGAGCTGTAGCTAGGCCAGAAATTACGCTGTGAGCACGCCCGGCCACATCTTATCATCCAGATCTATTATAGTTTTCTGAGTGTTCAAATTCGTGCCCTTACATTGCTTACATATTAATTTATATTGTTTATAGTGTTCCTCATGAGCCTCGTTGGTTCCGGTACTCAAAACATATATCTTATCTCCACTAAATAGCTCAGGCAATTTTTAATTGTTGTCAGTCTATAAAAATGATTGAGATCCATAAATCTATAAACAAGTGTTTCATGTGTTCTTGTTAATTGACTTATTTCATCTTGAGTTTATTTTATCTATTTCACATTTCTGATGAGATCACTTGAGTGTAATTGGTTTAGTTAGTTCTAGGTTTCAGATACATTAGTATATCTAATTAAGAGTCGTTGGTTAGTTTTGTAACTAATTGTAATAATTAACTGAGTAAACTGAGACAGTAATTGAGCAAATTATAATCGGACGATATGCAATACAGTTTTCAGGTGGATTTTACTTTTCGATACTTGGTGTTTCTTACAGTATAGAAATTGATTGATAATAAATATAAAATATATACACATTTCAGCTTATTTAAATACAAGAAAATGTGTTTCTGTTGATTGATAAAAACATTTATATTCATATTACACTATGGGATCCACTTGAATGCTAGCTTTGCTTGGCATGGAATATAATACAATATATTTATCTCAATAATATATATTTAAATTTCTTTTAAATGTCTGTCACGTAAATTGCATAATTAGGCATTTCACATCGTACAACTTTTATTAGAACAAACACAATTATGATTGTTTGCTCATTTTGAAGGCCTCACATCAATTGACGGCAAATGTTTCGTACAACTATTTATATGGAAACATTAATTTAAATATTAATGAGAAATTAGGCAGTGACAGAGGAAAACAAACGTTTGCCATTAAAAACAATTGAATATGAATAGAATTGAAATGCCAGCATTTCTTCAATTATGTGCAATAAATATATATGTACATACATACATACATATGTATATCAAATCTATTATTTCTATTAAATTCTATCGAAGGGGAAGAACTTTCAGCTGCAATGCTCGATGAATTTGTATATAAATATTTATTTACTTTTTCTTATTTAACAATTAACAGCAGCAAGTGTATTAAAGACATTATGACGCCATGTTACTAGAGAGGCACACACACATGCACAGACGGATATGCTCCGATGCTCAGCATAGGGGTGAGCCACAATGTAAGCTTATGCATGTGTGAATGAGTATATATATATATGCGTGTGTGTGTACTATCTATGTGCATCTCTTTTCTTTCGCTACTGCCTTTGATTTGCTGCTGCAGCTGTGTGTAGTCCATACAAAGGAGTAATATATAAAGCCGTTGTAAGAACTACTTCTCTCTTTTTCTCTCCCTCTCTCTGTTTCTTTACATCTCCCTTTTGAACTCTTTGTTTGTCCCACACTGGCGCTCTCTCCGACTCTTACTCTCTCTCACACACACACACATACACATGACCAGATACAGCCAGGGGCAATTTAAAGAAACTGGCACGCAAGTCATTTAAAACCGAAGCCATTTGTTGAACTTGATGTCAAAGCGAACTCAATTGTCACGCGAGTAGCTGCACATGCAGATCGAGCGGAAAAGTGCAACAAGTTCGTGTGTGTGTCTATGCTTGTGTGTGTGCGTGTGTGGAAGAGTAGGTGAATTTATTACGTTTGGGATATTCCAAGTCACACGCGTTTATTACGCATGGAAAACGAATACAACAAAAATTGAACTGATTTCGGTGCAAAGCATTGTAAAAATTTCATAATTAGTAAGTTCAATTTGATTAACTAATTTGTAATACAATAAAATTTTTCACAAATATATGTGAAGCACAGTTCCTAAAAAAAAATCGCGTCGCACATAAAAATTTTAAAATTATGCGAGTCAGCTGCTTTTATTTCGGTTTGCGAAATGCGATGCATATGAAAATAAATTTGTGAACTAAAAATAAAATTAACTGCAAAAAAAACTTGTAAAGTTTGCCTTTGCCTGACACTAAGTAGCATATTTTGGCAATGTTTTTGCAGCGTAAATAAATCTGTTTGGGTTCTTAATATTTGCTAAAATGAGAATTGTGCAAACCAATATATGAACAATAAGAATTTTTTTTTGGAAATGTGAACTTTTCCTTATCGCCCGTAATGCAACAAATATTTTGCATGCAAACAAATGAAACGAAAGTTACCTCAATCATTGTAGGCCAGCTTTGTGTGTCTATGTTGGCACATTGATCATATTTTTAGCTGTTAGTTCAGCTACTCCTTTATTTGATTAAGATTTATTTATATTATTCGTAACTCGACAAGTAGGTGTTAAATTTAGCATTGGCAACTGTAAAGCCAGATGTTTCAATTGTTATTATAGTTTCTGTAAATGCCTGGCCAGATTATATTTTGCGCAGAATTATACATATATACATATATAAAGTTATATGCAAAGTAAAATGACATTGATCATTTTGAAATTGTCCAAACTTAATTACAAGTTATATCATAATTATCTCGAGTTTGTTTCTAATATGCTTCTGACAACACGGCGTATTCGTGATAAGTTAGCACTCCAGAGTCTCGTGTCGTCAGTTGGACTCGGTATTTGTTTGATATAAGAGATTCGTATTCGCCTTGGGGGAATTTCTTCTTATACTCTTATACCTCGAGTCGTTCTTTATTCTTTGTTGCGAACAAAGGAAATTTCATTCATGTAAATATTTGGATGCGCAGTATTATATCTTTCAGTCTGTCTGCATTCGACACTACTCGCACAGCTGGCCAGCTATACTCGCACCCCTTCTCGCACTCGGTACAGTTGATCCAACGCACATGCGACGATCGCCTGTTAGGGGGAAACGCGATAAGATCATATGTCTGCGATATGGAGTACTTTGCACACGCCCAACTAGTTTTAAAAACTAAACCCATTAGCACCTCAACGACTTAAGTGCCCATTCTGGACTATCTAATCGCATTTGTTCTTACATTCGACTTTCAGTCATTTATTAATCTATAATTGCACATTAAGGTATTAGCTATGGGCTTTGATTTGGCTTGCAACTGATAGCGTTGGCAGCACTCAATGATTATTATGACTGGGCAACATTCATGAACTTTAAGATGTTTTCAGCTTAGCCGAAATATATATTTTTTTTGTTTTGGAAATTTATCAAATTATCTTTTTAATAATCCTAAAAATGTGAGCATTTTTTTATTCAAATGCTTTTTAAGAGAGATTTCCACTGCAGTATTTTCAAACGATATGAAGAAGTCAAGTACCTTCTGAAGATCTTTCCTAATTCCTCTGCATTAAAAAAAAAAAAAACAAAAAGTATTCTTCATGAAATTCAGGGTATTCTCTATTCGAGCTCTTACAACAAAAGCTTTGCTACTTTTTTATATATTAAAGAAACCGGAATCTTTTGTATATATCAATAGCTACTTTTTCATGGAATTGTTTGTAAGAAATATTCTGTAGATTGATTTTGAATTGAATTGTATGAATTTTGCTGAGAATGGAGAAATGAATGCCTGATAAAAGAAAAGCATATAAGATAATCAAATTTCAAATTTGCAATTTCAGATATGCAATTAGCAAGCAATTCTTAAATGCATGAATCATATTTAGACGCCATTTAGTAGTTTCCCCATTGTGAAATAAATTTAAAGAAAAACACACATTTTATAGAGTGCCAGCGTGTGTGAAGCTTATAGAGTAAACAATCATAAAGTTGTCGATCGAAAGTAGAAGGCAAATCTGTGGTTAAATTGTAGTGAAGCATGTTTTAGAGATAGCGCGAAAATGTATTATTTAGCACAAAAATTAGCGTAGCAATTTCATATATTTATTGGTGCGTTATCACAAGGCCCATATGAGCATGTAAATCAAATGAAATCGTATCGAATCCATTAATCCCGTATACGCCGCGTGGACGCTCGTAAAAGTCAAAACAACGGCTTGAGTCTAACTGCCTTAGACGTTATGCGTGTATTTTTTATTTCAGATGTTTTTTTTCCGCTGTCAGCTCCTGACCTGTTTCTGTTAGCTGCCGCGAAAACTAGTTTGATTGACTGGAGTACAGTTGCCCCTCCCGCCGAGCACAAACAAAAATTCAATCAAAACTCTGTCCCTGGTCGGCCTGTTGATTTGATTTTATTCCATGCGGCGCTAGCGTCGACTGCGACGCTGATGCCGACGGTGACGGCGACGCAGGCGTCAACACGCAGTCGAACAGCTGTTTCTCGTTTTTAATAAACAAACCGACGCGCCGACAGTTAGCTCAGTACGCAAAAGACACTTCGTGGATACACATCGCCAGAGATAGTCGTGGGGCACGATACAAGTGCGCGCTAAACGGGCCGTTCGCCAGAACACAGACCCCAAACATCAGCTGCCAGAAATATTGCTAAAAAAAAAACCTAAAGAAGAAGTGGAAAACGAAATTCGGTTTACTCCAAAAGAATATAAGTGAAACAAAGTAACAGAAATACCAAATCAGCGAATTCGAATTCCGTGTACTGCCTTCATTAGTCGTGACGTGTGTGACAGTTGGAGCCGTTGAACTTTTGGCATATATGCAAAAGAAAGATCGACCACGATAAATTCGAAATAAATAATATACAGATACATTTGTATACTAATTAGGGCTGTCGCGAAACAGAACTTTGATTCTCAAAAATAACAAATTATTTGTTTGTGCCTTCACGAAAATTGTGTATACGCACCTGTTTTCCGTTTTGTTTCGTTCTGTTCGTAAACAAAATTTCTTTTCTTGCTTCAGTAATGTGTGTAGAAAAAAAAATTAGGTAGATAAAACAAACAAATAATTTCAACGTATTGAAAGCTGCACTTCAGGTAATTTCATGCTAATAGATCATCATATATTATAAACTACTTTCATATAACTTACGTTACTTTTGTATGCGGCTAGCGTACAACAGTATAAAATCTTGAATTTATTCAAACGATTCTCAAATAACAAATTTTAAGGACCTTGAACAAGTTTTTAAAGCGAACGCGAGTTTTTTGTCTTCAAAAATTTCGGAGCTCAGTTGCTTTGCAATTACTGCGAAACCAGTTATAAATGTGTAAAAATATTCAAACTGGAGTCAAGAAAAAAAAAAAAAAGAAATATACATATATATATATATACACTTATATATATACTCATATAAAATTGCAAATTGCATATCCAAGCTCCAATCAAGTCAAGCACATTTCTGTTAAAAAAAAAAAAGTGCACAACAGGAGTTCGCACTGAATTATTATTGTAATTTATGGCATTTGCTTGTGGCAAAATGTGTTCTAGTCAATTGGGTCTGGGCAGCTACACGTGCTTCGCTCAATGAGAGCTCGATTACTTGAAACTGCTTGACAACCATTGACGGGGTTCAGCGTACAAATCAACAGGGTTCTGCCATCTTATATATGTATATGTGTGTGTGCTTGTTAGTCAGAATCCGGCAGCAATTAGTCAACAATAGTCAGTCGGTAACTGGTGGGTCGCTGGATATAACAAAGTTGTATCTGAGCGATATAAATACTATGCCACTGATAAGGGGCATATTTCTCGTACCATAGTTTCGCAGCACGACAGAAACATCTGGCCTTAGTTTAGGTTGTTAGTCAGCGACTGCTGTTTATCTTGGTTAAACAAAACATTGCTACAAAAATATGTGTTTTCTTTTTTATAATAATGGGCATATCCTGTCAATTAAACTGTATATTTATTTATTTTATATTATTTTATTTATAGATTTAACTGAGTTACATTCAATTCTAGATTACAGTTGAATGAAAAATAAATAATATTTAATTTGTAAAAATAAATAAAATATTGTTATGCAGAAATACCTCTGCAGAAATACCTCTGCGAAAAATTTACCAAAATCGAATTAAATAAATAAATAACTAAAGGCTGCAATTACTTGTTTGGGAAAGTCGTTCGACTTTACCTCAGTCCACTTTCTCCTTCACTAAATATTTGCATATTTAATTAAGCGGACGATTTCAGATTACTTTAAATCAGATTAATTATGTTTAGCAGGCAAAGCTTGATAGCTTTGTAAGAAAACAAATTTGTATAAAATATTTGATCATTAAATGAGATTTTTACCTGTTTCATTCGCAGAGAAAACAAATGTGAACCAAATGCGTAGACATTTATTTTTTGGATAACAATACACGAACCCACACACACACAGAAACACACAGACAACAGACACAAATACACACACAGACACACACACGTACATGCACAGACGGAACCTACTGTGATACCCTATACATGAACTGAGGCCATCCGGCATATAGGAAAAGAACGCAGCTACATACCCCTCAGAGTACAAAACATCAAATACATCCAATAGGAGAGCAAATCAGCAAAACTCAGAATGGACTTCGATCAAATTCTTGCCAAATGCGGCGACTTCAATCGCTATCAGTTTATGATACTCGCACTCTTTGGCTTTATCAATATCATCGTATCGATGGTACGTACGATTTATTGCTTAATAAATAATAATGCCGGATTGCTTACTGAAGTGCGAAAATAAATTATTGCAGCATTATTTCACACAAACTGTGATTAGTTTCGTGCCGGATCATTGGTGCTATCATGAGAAGCTCGTTAACATGACATATAAGGAGATCGCCGACATCTATGCCAAATTCGAGAATCCCTCATGCACACGCCTCGCCGACATCAATGGCAGCGTGGTCACAGTCAGCACGGAGAAATGCGAAAAGTGGATATATAATTATGACTTTGGCTATAGAAGCATGAACACCGAGGTGAGTTGAACCTACAAAAATATGATATTTATAAAAAAAAAAAAAAAAAAAAAATTATTATAATCATAGTAATGTAATAAAGAATAGCTACAAATACTTATCACAAAAATGTTATATTTATCTAAAAAGAACATTTTTTATAATAATAGTAATGTAATGAACAAAACTGCTTAGCCTTAAGTTCCGGATTATCAAGGTGATTTGTTTTTCTTATTATATGTACAAAATAGAGCAGAAAAGTTAGATCACATCTTAAATTAATGCTAGGTTTGAAAAGTCCCTTGATCAATATTAGCAGCTACGATAATTTGATAAACATACTTGAATAAATGTTTTTTTTATTTTTTTTATTTATATTTATTTTTAATCAATTTACTGCATACAAAAGCGATATGTTTAAAATTTTTAAAATTTAAATAAAATATAAAATATTTATTTATAATAATAATATTTATTTAAAATAAAAACATTCTTCGTAGACTCATCAAGGGTATTTAAAAATTAAGAATTCTTCATTTCGGTTGTTTGTTGAAAGTCGCTTAAATTGAACTTGCGTTTATTTATTTAATTTATTTATTTTCTTTCCAATCCATCAACAGCTGAACTGGGTCTGTGACTCAGCGTATAAGGCGCGCATTGGACAGTCGCTGTTCTTCATTGGGTCTGTTGTCGGTACGCTGTTCTATGGTCTGTTGTCTGATAAAATTGGACGTGTGCCAGCCCTGATATTGTCGAACTTCTGCGGCTTTGCTGGCGATTTCTCTACCATCTTTACCAAGAGCGTGGCCACATTTACGCTCTGCCGTTTCATATCGGGTCTGGCGGCCGATACCAACTTTTATCTCATGTATATTATAGGTAAGTGGATGCGTAGCAATGCCCAAAATAAAGATTTGATTTTTTATTTTTTATTGCTAATCATCTTCATTCTATTGTTTTGCAGTGCTCGAATATATACGGCCCAGCATGCGCACATTGGGTCTGAATATGGCGGTGGGTCTATTCTATTGCCTGGGCCTGGTGTTCACGCCCTGGCTGGCCGTTCTGGCCGGCCACTGGCAGATCTACTTGGCCTGCACATCGCTGCCCATTCTGCTGGTGGTTCTGTACTATTTCGTGGTGCAGGAGAGCGCCCAGTGGCTGGTGACGCGCAACGACATCGATGGGGCGATAATGCGGCTCAAGCGCGTCGCCAGATTCAATGGTCGCCATGTGTCGCAGGCGGAATTCGATGAGTTCAGGCGCCATTGCCAAATGACCCGCGAGATGCAGGGCGGCGATGATAAGAAGCATGCGACGCTGTTGGACATGTTTAAGACGCCACGCATGCGCAAGAACACGCTGATTCTGTTCTTCAAATCGTAAGTAATCACAGTGATAAAACACTGACTTGACACATTACTCATACGCAGCGTATTGCAGAATGGTCATCACACTGTGCTACGACGCCGTGTCGCGTAATGTGGAAGGCATGGGCATCTCGCCGTTCATCATGTTCTCGCTAAGCGCCCTGGCGGTGCTACCCTCAAGTATTCTGCTGGTGCTGCTCCAGGATCGCATTGGACGCAAAGGCATGGCATCGGGCTCGCTGCTGGTTGGTGGCCTGTTCACGGCTGCCGCTGGCATTGCCATCGCCTATCAGCAGCACAATCACAATGCCATTTTGTTGGCCTGCCTGACGATTGCAGCGCGATTCGGCGTGGCCATCTCGTATGAGTCGGGATCGCAGTATGCGACAGAACTGATACCCACTTGTGTGCGCGGCCAGGGCGTGGCTGCGGTGCATGTGGCCGGCTTTGCGGCATCCTTCTTGGCGCCCTACATCCTATGGCTGGGCACGTTCTTCAAGGCCGCTCCTTCAATCATATTGGGTGTGCTCTTCTTTGCCGGCTCCTTTGTATGCCTGCTTCTGCCAGAGACCCTCAACCGGTAAGTGTGTGAATACTGTTGATGCCCAATCAACTGCTCAATTCTTGATTATTTTCGATTCGACAGGAGTCTTCCCACCACCATCGAGGAGGGTGAGGTGTTCGGCAAGGGCGAACGCATGTTCGACTTCCCCTGCCTGCACCATAACGACGACGATGACTCCGACTCTGAGATGGAAAAGTACAAACGCAAGCATTCGCTCATTGATGCCAAGCAGCAGGTGGAGTCTGGGCAATACAGCAAGCGCAAACAGTCGCTGATCGATGCCGATCGCGAGGAGCAGTCCCTCAAGGATGCAAAGCATTGAGCCAATCTCTAACGCCTCTGACTAGCTTGTAGTTTAGCTAAACAATTTTCTATGGACCCCTTACCAAGCACTACTTAACACTTTCAATCAAGCAACTACAATAACAATAGCCCTAAGTAGACAGCTGAACAATACTGAATTTCAATAATTAATTCATTTTCGACTTAATAATGCAGCAGCTATTATTTAAAACATAAATCTAAAGCACTGCTAGCTGTGTGAATACCTCATAAATAACTATTCAAAGATTACTTAAAATTTACAAACTTTATGCTCAAGTATCTATAGAACGTTTTCGATAAATATTTCTTGCTAAAGCACACACACACATCTATACACGAATATATACATATATCTATATACATAAATATATCTATCTATACAATTGAGTGTATATTATTAATATAAAGTATATATACGTCTTAAATTGTAGGCCTATATACTTATATAGACTGTAAGCAACCATATTCTTTAGTAACTCATAACTTAAATCAAAATTAAGCTATTGAGAATATTTTCCAAAAGTATGTAAGTTATCGAAGCCTAAATGGGAATCAAAATCGCAAAGTTAACATATAAGCGGCACAATTTCACTTAACTGAATGAATTGAATACTTATTATTATAAACATTTACATCAATGTAATATGTATTAGCTAAACATAAGTGTATTACTGTAATATTTAAGCAGAGTTTATTTTGATTCAATGCAAATATGATAATAACTACAATTTTAGAAACAATTTAAACAAATAAAAAAAAGCGACATGTATACAAATCGAAACAAAATTCTGTTTTATTCGATTCTAATATGAGAATTAAATTTTTTCAGTTTTATTTAATTAATTTCCATCCATATTTGTGGGACGTATCAATAATTCAACGGAATATATGGAATCAAGGACAGCGTTCCAGTAGACCATGTTGCTTCTGAGATAAAAGTTCAGATTTCTATTGGAGCACCAAATGTAAATTCGATTACCATGATGTTTACTTACGAATTGCCGCAATTTGTTTGCCACCAGCCGCCGCTGGCATCCTTGGAGCACTTAACATCAAGCAATAGATCATTGTCGCGATCGAGGGTGCTGAACTTTTGATATAGACTCTCTCTCAATCCATCGCCAGCGTCTCCGGAGTATTCACCCAGTGATTGTATGGCATAGCCCTCAGTCTCATTCCCGATTCGAAAGTTGCTGTAGGACGCGGTTTTTACGCTCTGGCCATTGTTTAATCATATCAAGAGCTTGTGAGGCTTCGACGACGTCATCAAATGCAATTTTTCCATTCCAATGAAGAATTCACTGCAGAAATCACCAAAGCCTTGGACAAATGTATGTTATTTCCAGTCTGTTAATTTTCATTTAATTCATTAACATTTTTTATTTTTTTAATTGTCTAGGAAATTAGCAGATCCGCTCAGTGTGCTTAGGATATTTTTCGGCTGGATAAAGCCGGTTCACGTGTTAATCTTTTTAGTATTGTCAGTATATTTGAATATGCCAAAGTATTTTGTTTGGGAAATAGCACAACGACTTTTTATCTTCCCAATTTTAATGACGCAAGTTCTGGAGCTCCGGCGTCTCTTTCGATTTGCAATGGAGCATGGCTACAGCCATTAGCTCTTTATAATTTTTATCTGAATCGAGCAAATATACATACTTACATATTTTGTGTAATAAATCTCCAGTTTCAAAAGCGAAGAATTTTGAATGTGAAAAAGAGAATTAATAAAAAATAAATCAATTAACAATGACTTCGATGAGTACGAAAAGGTAGCCAAGTAGAGGAGATGGAAAGATGAATCTATTCAACAGAATTAATATATATATTGATGAACTATGTGATTCATAGTTGTCGAAAATAAGGGAAATTAAGTTGGTTTTCAGTTCAGTTTAATTAAAATCAAAATAGATTAAGTGAAATACATGTATATAAAATTTAACGGCTAAATCCCAATTACTATGCATTCTTTACATGAGTAATACATATCAGACCATTCGGTTGCACGAACTAACATAACGTTAAGCTCATCATCAGGTTATAGGGTTTGGTTATTTATTCAGTTTCAGGTGAATTGATTTAGGTAAGCAAAGACCTAAGCATCAGACTTGTTATCGCCATTTGGGGTTAGGCTTTCGCGGTGTTTCTTGATGCACGGGAAATACAAGCAGCCCTCGTTCATCGCAAAGCGTTCCCCTTCGGCCAGGGTATCAGGAAGTTTTCTAGACAACAGACAGCAAAGTTAATAAATGGTTTTAGGCATTTTGGATAAGCAACGGGAATTACTTGTGTAGAGTTTCCGGCAACGTCAGACAGAGGCCAGCGCCAAGGAACATGAGACAACTTATAAATATCGACGGCAGTGGCTTGTAAAACTTTGCCAAGTAGATCACGTAGAAAGACAACGAGCTGGAGGCCAGGCCAATCACATGAATGTTGGAGACGGCTTGTCCTCGGACACTGGTTGGTATTATCTCGGCGGCGTATTGAATCTCCGCATCGTAGGAGACGGTCGAGCCATAGCGACCTAAGCCGATCATGATGGCCAGCAGGAGAGCGTTTTCCTTCGGGTCCAGGAAGGCAATGAGGAAGCCCGTCACTGTGGTAATGATGCCGCCCACCAGGAGCGCGCCGCAGGCCATGCCCTTGCGCCCGATTATATTTTGCAGCAGCAGAATGGTGCAGCCGGCTGGCAAATAGTTAATCGAGGTGTAAGAGAAAAGCTTAAAGGGCGATGTGCCGAGGCCCTCCATATTGCGGTTTATCACATCGTAGGATAGTGTAATAATGACGCTGATTTGGAGTGAATATAATGAGATGACTGTCGAATCAGATCAGATAAGATGGAGCTTACGATTTGAGCAGCAATGTCAGGGTGAATCGTCGTAGACGCGGTGTTCTAAACATGCCCATAAATGTGTCTTCGTGCTTCCTATGTTTCTCCTCCTCGATCACCTTCTCGCGATAGTGCTTGATGAACTCGTCGAACACAGAGTCCTCCACCTGACGCCCATTGAACTTAGCCACCCACTTGAGGCACTTGACGGCTTGATCGTATCTCTTCTTCGTGAGCAACCACTGAGCGCTCTCGCAGATCAGCAGCGGATAGCCGAGCACGCCGAGGGCGGGCAAGGAGGCCATCCACAGATAGTGGCGCCAGTTGCCAATCCAGATGGCCAGCCAGGGCGAGGTCATCAGTCCGAAGCAGTAAAAGAAGGCGAGTATGATGTTAAGGCCAAAGGTGCGACGTTTCGGGCTGAGGTACTCGAACACTAAAAACCGGCGGAAAGTCCTGTTACTCAACTATCCAGCAGACTCGTGAAGGCGTACTCACCCAAAATGTACATCAAATAGTACATCGTGTCGGTGGAGAGGCCCGACACAAATCTGGAGAACGCAAACCAGGGCAGAGTGTGCACAAATGAGGTCATAAAGTCCCCGGATGCCCCAGCTAAGGCGGCCATTAGCATGGCTGGCAGCCGGCCAATGCGATCGGAGAGGTAGCCAAACGTAATGGTGCCCACCACGGAGCCAATGAAGAAGAAGGACTGGCCCACGGCCGGCTGATGCGACTTGTCGCAGACCCAGCGGAGCTCCGTCGTTAAGCTCTCGTAGCCGCTCTCACGCTCGAAGATCCAATTCTGACAGGTTTCCTGCTCGGCAGCAATGCCCGTGCCATTGACGACGCCACTGAGTAACGTGCAGGCGGGATCCGTAACATTTGAGTAAACGGCGCGTATCGACTCTGCACTGAGGCCATGAAGATCATCATGGGAGCACCTATGGAAGGCAATCAATAAGCAACGATCTCAAGCATTTTTATGGGCAATACTTACCAATGCTCCGGCGTAAATGTTATAAGGGTTTGCGAGAAGTAATGCAATGAGCTCAATATATTCGTATAGCCGTACAATATCAAGATAACGAATTGGAAGCGTCCGAAACTTCCGCACTTCTCGAGCACCCGATCGAAATCCATATTTTGGGTTTAAACTGTGGCGATTCAAGCACACTTTATGTGGAGAAGGAGCTGAGGACTTGACAGTTCCCCCTTAACAACATGCTCACCGGACAACAGTCAAGTGACGATTGTTGATGCTCTGCACTTGACTTGCTATCTTATATGGAGTGGCCGATGTTAGATGTCGCTCAAGATTAAGGTGAGAATCGGCTTTAGCTATCTCTATTGTGCCATAAAGCTGTGAGACTTGGACAAACACAGAAGTCGTACGTTAAGACGCAGCGCCAGAGTCAGCTACTCTCTGTCCATTAATTGCCTACATTACATATTAACTATATAGTATTTTTATAATTTACGTACTTAGCATCCGATGTAATCTCTCTCTCAGTTATTGTTCTATAACATTTCTATACCCGATGATAGCAGGACATAGTGAATGGCGCTTTGGCTCTGCCAACGGGGATGCCTCCGAATATTTTAAAGGGGCTTTTTTGAGAAGTACATTTCAGATGGTTTCTCTTATCAGGCATTAAACTTGAAGCGACTCAAATTAGCAAGTCCGTTGTGCGGCCTAACAATATTTCGGCACTCACCAGAGTGCTTAGTGCAAGATTTAGTATCGGATGCTGTAAGTCACGTCTGCGGATTAACCACATTTAATAGAATTATCGCTGACTATATATGGCATCTGACAGGTTTATCGCTCGGCTCATGAGCCCTGCATACATATAGTATAGATTACAACTCTATTGACATTGTGAAATGCTCGGCTTTCAGCACACGCCAGGGGATATTAGATGTTTCATATGCATACATTAGCTTCCGATGGCATCGACGTGATAACCGTAAATCATAAAGATGATCTCTGGCGTCTAATTTCCTAGCATTTCTTACTAGATTTTCTGAGATTTATGCATTTATTAAATCATAATACTTGAATTGCCCCAATTTTACCATAAAACTAAATGAAACTGAAAAAAAAAAAAGAAAAAAGGAATCGGGTCAGCCCATTCAAGGTATAAAGAATGTGTTGCTACACGAGATTCCATTGAGATTCCATCGAGATTAAGAAATGCAGTTTGCAAATACAATTACACAATAGTTATAAACTTTATTTTCAGATCTATATTTAGTTTAAATAGCTTTACGAGTATTTTCTATGGTGGCAACAGAAATCGTATCATCGGGCAGTTCTCTCTTTTGGCTAAAGCAGGGAAAGTAATACCACTTCTCACCCACGCCGAACGTCTCGCCTTCCGCCAGGGTCTGGGGCAGTTTCCTATAAATAGAATGGGTAAATATGGGATTGCTATACTGGGGTAGAGCTTACCTCTTAACTGTTTCCGGCAGAGTTAGACATAGAGCCGAGCCAATGAACATTAGCAGACTGATGAAAATCGAGGGCAGCGGCTTATAAAAGGTGCCCAAAAAGATGATATACGAGCTGAAGAAGCCGAAGGCATAGCCCACGACGTGGATGTTGGACATGCCGCGACCCCGCACACTCGTGGGTATTATTTCGGCGGCATATTGCGCTTCCGCATCGTAGGCGACCACGCCCCCATATCTGCCCAGGCCCACCATTAGGGCCAGCAGCAGTGAGTGCTCAGTGGGATCCAGGTTGGCGATCAAGAAGCCCGTCACGGCCGTAATGACGGCGCCCACAAAGAGCGAGACACAGGCCATGCCCTTGCGCCCGATGTAGTTCTGGAAGAGTATGATGGTGAGGCCGGCGGGCAGGTAGGTGAAGCTGGTGTACGAGAAGAGCAGGAACGGCGAGGTGCCCATGCCCTCCATGTTGCGGCTGAGTATGTCAAAGGCCATCGTGATGATCATGCTGTAAACAAATCGCTGTAGGCTTCTCTCTAAGCATCTCTAATTCCGCCAGACTTACGACTTAATGAGCAGTATGATAGTGAACTTGCGTAATCTTGGCGTCCTGAGCATGCCCATGAACGTATCGTTTGTGGTCTTCTGCTCCATGTTTATCTTTTCGTGATAGTACTTGATGAACTCGACAAACACATTCTCGTCCACCTGGCGCCGGTTGAACTTGGCGATGCGACGCAGGCATTCCGCCGCCTTGTCGAACTGCCGCTTGGTCAACAGCCACTCGGCGCTCTCGAAGAGCAGGCACGGATAGCAGAGCACGCCCAATGCCGGCAGCGAGGCAGCCCACAGATAGTTGCGCCAAGTGCCCACCCAGATGGCCACCCAGGGTGATATGACCAGGCCCACGCAATAGAACACGGCCAAAACGATGT